GGGGGGGGGGGGTACTTTATAAGCCGACTTAACAACTTTATTGTTGCCCTTGAACCATTCCTGCTCAGCCCATTCTGAAAATTTGCGACCGTCATCCCTTCCGATACATTCGGCAAGTTCATTCTTACTCGGTTGAACCGAGCAAGGAAGTCCCCCAATCCTTCTCCCGGAGACTATTTAATAGCAAATATGTCGTTTACTCTCGCCTCGGCCTTCTTGGCCCCAGCATGGGCCGTTATGAACTTGTCGGCCATTTCTCCAAAGGTTTCAATGGAACGCACAGGCAGATGTGAATAACATGTTAACGCTCCTTCCGTAAGGGTCTCGCCGATTGTTTTTAACAAAATGAAGGATACTTGTTCCTTGGCGAGATTATTGCCTTTCACGACGGTGATGTAGTGAGTCACATGGTCTTCGGGGTCGGTTGTGCCATCGTGTATTTTCAGATTGGGTGGTATTTTAAAGGTCTTTGGTATGGCATGTGGGGTGGCATCATCACTATACGGATGCTCGACGGACCGACCGACATCTCTCTTCGGCAAGAGCTTAGGGGTGCCCGGTATCTTATCGTCCCTTTCTTAGTGTTCTCTCATTTGGTCTCAAAGTGCTTTATTCTCATTCTCCATTTTCTCCATCCTTTTCAGGATGGCTGCGAGAGCATCGTCACCTTCACTATTAATGACATTGTGAGTAATATATGTCGTTGGAGGAGAAGGAATTTGATAGTGCTACTCGTCTACTGGTGGTATAACGCAAGTCCTTGCATTTTTTGTAGCCGTGCCCCGAACGAGCTTATGGAGGACGCTGGTTAGCGTGTCAGTTAGCCAAGCCTCAATGAGCTTTTTTACTGCTGGTGGTGTCTCCTCTGCCACGGATGTGAAGGCTCCCTTACCAAGAGATTTATTGATGCTACAATGAGGAGGGGGTGACCCACCTCTCCTGGGGGAGGCATTAGGCGTTGCGTCCTCGTCCACTGCTTTAGAGCTCTCATTGATGATATTTATGAGGTTGGTTGGGAGGTCACTCACTATTCTCGTTCTTTCTTCTCTGTTACCTTCCATATTAGATTTGTGCATACAAAGAAAGGGGATCTTGTTCTTGCTTTCTCCGTTTTTTTTTACGTTAGCGATCCGTGTTAGCTATAGATTTAGAGGAAGCTATAACTAGGAAATCTCACAAAGGGCGCCAAATTGTTTGACCAAAAAGTATAACTTCTAGTTAAAACTATTGTATTTATATAATGAAGGGTTAAACCTAGCTAATGATAATATCTCTAAATGCGGATCCTGAAAGTGTGGATAATGTGGGACAAATCTAATGGGAGATTGACAATAACAAGCATTAATTATTCCAAAAAGTATAAGCAATAATGAAGGAGTAACTAACAATAAATAGCAATAAATGACATTTAAGTAAATAGGAGGAGTGATTCATCCAATGAAGAATGAACTAGATGATTGTTCCTCCTGACAATGACGAGTGACAGATAAATTCTAGAATGTTCGAACTATTTTCGGATGTGATGAAAAAGTATGGAATAATACGAATAAGAATCTTGATGAAAATGTAATGTTTGTATCTTTGTTAGAGAGAGAGAATCTTTTTCAGAAATATGCTCTTATCACATGAATATTACATACCTTTTTTCCTTCTCTTTTGTGCTCTTTATATGGGAAATATCCCCAACAAACCCTAATAGTACATGTGCAGAGAATATTTTTTAGAATATCCCCTCTATTATCCTATTCTAAAAACTAGCTGTTACGATTCTTTCCGCGGACCTCGTCCTTGACCATCATAGGCATCCTGACCACGAGCTTCGCCATTTCCTGATCGACCTTGACTGATTTTTCCTCAACACTTCCTCGCCCTAAATGTTCCGCGGTATATTTTGACCTATACAAGTACTCATCAAGTCCATATCCACCTCAAATCCCCCTTTCAAAAGGAAAAAATAAGACACCAAGTGGGGGGTGGGGTGGGG